CCCCCCCTCCCAGCCGAAGACACGAGTTTGATCCAGAGTGGAAAAGTTACCTATTGTTGATCTCTGTCCTTCTGCTTTGAGTTGTATCACATTAATTTCACTGGGCTGGCCCTGACAGGCAGGCTCTGTATATACAGTCTTCTTCCTTTGTGGCGATCTAAATTATTTTCGATGGGAGTGTTAAAACAGCAATTCTAACCAATCGATCTGTTTTAAACAAGGAGAACTAATTTCCTGTCATATTGTTTTTTCTCTCAATTGATTCCTCCTGCAGAAGCTGCTACCAGTACACACAGATGCTAAAAAGTTGTCCAGTGAAGACGGCACTGAAGGCACTCAATGTGTGCGGCCAGCTTCTCAACCCAAAAGAACCTCTTCCTCGATGTCTACTAAAGAGAACGTTCTTGGGGCATTTACAGAAGACTTTTTTCGACTGTGTGAAGTACTATTGTTCAGGACTAGATTATCTCGGTTGTCGTCGAGTAAAAAACCTGGCCAACAGTATGTTCTGTTATTATGCTACAAATTTGCCATGTTAATAAGGCTTTTTGATAGACAAGAAATCATTATGACCTTTAAGACCTTTAAGATATCAGGGCTAGAAAACCTATATTTTGTACCAAAATAAAAATTTACGTTATACATTTGTTTTAGATAAATCCTTGACTAGCATTGGTTCGACATTATAAGATATAAACACAACATCTTTTTTGTTTAAAGTTCGCCTAAATTTTCACAAAATATGAAAGTTGTGCCTATATGCTATTATAAGATCTGTGTAAAGTATGACCAGAGAGGGTTTACAGTAATAGAGAGGTGACACTCGCGGCGGCGCTCCATAACAACAGTGCATTTTTTCGCGTATCGCCCCGCGCGGGGCGCGAAAACACTTACGCCCGGTGATCGTTGCCACGGCGATGTTCAGGGATGCTGTCATGTCATGAGAAAATGTAGTACCGTCTGTAGTTAGTTCACTGGGTTAGTAGGTCTTTAACAAAGAAGGAGGCCTGTGATTTCTTTTGCATATTTTAGACAACCCCCTGTCTCCATCGTCCATAAACTGTAAGACTTGTTTTTGGCATAAGTTAACATACATTCGAATAAACAAATAGACGCAGATACATTACTTCGTCTCTATAGATCTGAAAAAAATAATACCACCGTAATTAAAGGAATAATCGGTTTAATTTTCAGCAAATCTACTCGTTCTCCAGTGTCCCTATGTAATCTCCCTCCCCCCCCCTCTC